AACACCGTCTATAATAACACTATAATATTTTATTTTATTAGATTGTATCATAAAACATCGACGCAAATCATTTGAGAACAATAATTAAGTACACCAAGTGTTAATAAATACTAAACTCATGTGTAATACTAAAAATATAATAAATAATAGATTTATTTAGTTATAAAAGTCGGGTTAATAATTTGTTTTCACGAAAAATCATGCAATTGTTTTTCTTTTTGAAAACATTTTACTTTATATTAATTTACTAACTTTCAACTTAAAAGGTAACATATATAATATAAAAGTTCTTAAATCAAGAATTTTAAGAAATTAAGAAATAAAATGTTGACTAGTTAATAACCAACTAATAGTAGGTACTGATCATTTGAGAATTGAGATAGTAGCGAACCCTAGATTTCTGGAGTATCCTATTATTAGTATTTGACGGATTATTCGAGTTTTTGGATATTACTTTTATTTTTTACCTACCTAGTATGTTAAATAAATAATAAAACTACTTTGACAAAACGTATTTATGTGTACATTTGTACAACGTTTAGGGTTATTTAAAAAAAAAATTGTACTATATAACTTAGATAAGCAAAATATATAAATTCGATAATCCTACATATTTGTATTACTAGTGCTCACATAATATAAATCATAATATTCTCCTTCTACCTACCCTTTTTAAGACGCTAAATAGTGTAATACAAATTGTCTTATTATTAATTGTTTTGTTTAAAATAGTCTGGTTGATAGATAGATGGATTGTGATAATCTATCTTTTTAGCCTTGTCGCTCCAAACATGAAACTTTTAAACATTTTAGAAGGTGGAATTATGTAGCACAAGAAACGACCAAAAATCGTTGTACAAGAGGATGTATATTGAGGATCATTAGTGAACAATTCTATTATTGTTTAACCCTAAAAAATGAGAACTCCTATGTATAACATAGGAGAAAATAGGGAAATATCCACTACATCTGTTAGCTTAATTTAGTTTTTATACAATTAAAATATTTTAATCGGATAAAAAAAGCGATGGATCTAATTAATTCGTATTGTTACTCATTATCTCCTAATCGAATTGAAACCTCAGTCTTTTATCGTGAGTCTTTCGTAATAATATGAGTAGCCGATGATCTAGTTAAAAAATATCTAACACCCGTAATCATCTCACAAAACATAATACAAATATATTATATTAATCAAAACTTTTACAATATGTAAAATCATACCTGAACATTTTTAACTGAGGGGCCCACAAATTACAAAGGTCCGCGTGTAGACAATAATAACACAATTTTCCGTTATCAAATTTTACCACTAATACTTTTAAAGTCAAATTTTGTTACATCTAATTTTTTGTCAAAAAAAAAACTATAGTTTGTTCCGAATGCTAAGTATCAATATTTAAATATAAAATTGACTTGCAAAATAATATGCAAAAATACATTTTTAATATATGTATTTATTAGTGATGGAAATTTAAAAATCAGGATTTTTACAAAAAATGTTGTTAGCCATTTAAAAACTTGTATAAATATGTAATACACGTACAATTTCAGCTGTATATTTAAGCAAAATATTTTGATAATTCTAAACACTTCATGCAGATACATTAATACAAGGATAAGTCCTGATAATAATTATATGATTATTTCCGATCATTAATCTCCTTGCGTTATATTATGATGATAGCATAGTCTTAATTAAATGTTCTGGCCAAATGTTTTTTAGTAGTTTTATAAAATCTGGCTTAAATTGATTTACTGGCAACATTTATCAATATTTAACATTTTGCATAAATCAATTTCTGTGGTTCGCCAAGAAGTGAGTGCCTACCTAGTAAATTCATTTGACTATCCTTATATATATATATCGTTATATCCTAATATTATATCATTACATGCTTATATATACTTGTATCATTATATCCTAATTAGGAGTACCTAATCTCTGATATATTATATCTTATCTCTTATTTGATGATTATTCATCAGCTCATTCATTCAAAAAAACAACCACTAGATCGGGTTATGCATGTTTTTTCTAACATTTTTTTGTTCCTACAGTAGGAATTAGGATACTTTCATCCGTAAAATAAGTTTTAAAATACGATATTACTTAAATTATTAAATATTCTTCTACATCCAAAATACAAATATTATTAAAAAGAGATCTAAGATAAATGTTTCTTTGAAATAAATATTAAAAACTAAAAAAAAGAGAACAAACATTTTTTATTGTTTTCCAAATTATAAAATTTGTTTAGTACATACGTCACACTATTATAAATACAAAAACTTTGTTTTTAAAAACTGCCGCGTAAAATTTGATGACAAATAGGTATATTGTAATGTTATTTGTAAATCAAATTTATAAAAAAAAACCATTAAGTTTATATTTTTAACAATAACAGTAAACCATTTAAAAACAAAAATCATTAATATTTTCTAAATGTAAATACATGGACAAATACTAATGATAATCCCAAATACTAATAAGAATGAAAAATGAAAAATATTAAATCAAAAAACAAATGGTAAGAGGTAATTGAGAATATTATAAGAACGGCCGGTGTAACTTGTGTTGGTTAAGGATATGCGAGATCGTTTTAAGTGGAATTTAGGGACTAAAGTAGGCAACCCAAAATTGTTGACATGGGAAGGGTATTTCCAGAGCGTAATGAAGAGGTTTCGTTCTTCTATCCTTCTGACCTAAATTTGAAGTATATAAGTATACTACTGGTACTACCAGTACCAGTTTTTTTTAATGCTCAACAAAACGTGACAATTATTAAGGAGTTTGGTATAGGTAATTTTATGCAGAAATTTAATTTAAAGGTTGACCTGTGATCATATTACTAATTATATTAGTTCAGTAATACATTTTTTTTTTTGTAGGTAATGTGTGTTTGGACTATGACAGTATCATTGACGGTGATTATTTCATCGAAACATAACTAGGTACGCAGAATGCGTTTTGCTTAGTTTCTAGTGATTTTAGAGTAAAAAACACCTATTAAAATCCGAAAGATAAAAACATTTTGTAGACAATATCATATCAGATTTTGAAAATGATAACGTGAAAAAAATGTTATTGCTATTTGAAACATGTATAAATCATATACTTTTCCACTACCACCTGTCATACCTTTACATTTTGTTGGAATATTTAAAAAATCTTCTAGAGGTACTAATTTATATTTTTCAAGCTTAGCTTCGCCGTTTGCTGTCAAAATGACCCTCGACCATATCACCATAGGTTTGTTCGTTAAAAAAAATGGTGTATTCACTATAATGACAGTATTAGATGAGGTGTAGTGCAATGTTTCAAAACAAACGTTTTTGGTGTTTTTGGCTTAAACCGAAAATCCGATACGACATTTCTATTTCTATCAGTGTGGAAAGTATATACATTAATCAACACTTTTTAAAAATAGTATGTACAACTACATTATTTAAAAAAGAACACTTTGGTGTAAACTTGTTGTAAAAAAGTATACACTTTTTGTTAAAACAAACAAACCTCATGTACGATTTTCGCCAAAATAAATTAAAGTTCGCTATCTAGTACTTTAAAGAACCCATAATTTTTTCGAGCGCTCAAAATTATACGTATTCATTTTTTGAAAACATCCTGAGTCTATATTTATTTTGTTGTAACCTAAAACTTTAATTATACCATCCATATCATACATGCGGTGTACCATCTATAAAAATTAATAACTATGATGATAATATCAACATGACAGTAAAAATATAGGCAGTTATTATTGTTGTACTTCTAACATATTATTGAGCTTTATTAAGTTTGTAGTTTTTTTCATAATATCGGAGAATATTGAAGGGATTATAAGTAGGTAACTGTGGGAATACATTAATTACATAAGTACAATAATATTACTAATAATATAATTACTAATATTATATTACTAATATAATAATAATTATACTAATAAATATAGTCAAGATATTTAAAAAAAAAATTAGAGCACTAAAAAAATAAAGGGGTTCTTAAAAAATATTGGGTAAAAATTTAATTTGGCAAAAATCGAAATAAAATCTTTGGCGGAAAACGGAAACCCTCAATTTTTCATAGGAATAACTTTGGTTCAGGGAACTGCAAAGGAAACAAGTCGTTTTTCATAGCTGTGTCGTGTGTACCATTTTAGTCACTCATGAATTATTAACTTGTTTTGAAAACAAATTGGTATTCACTTATGTCCTTTCTCAAATGTTTGATTCAGTTTTACGATTTAGCATTTTGTTTCCATCATAATACCCACTTTCTTAAACATTTATTGATCAATAATAATTATAGCTCAATGGGCTAAATAATATAAATACATAATAATACTCATTACATTTTGCCGATAAAATAATATTTGTTCAAGTTGCTCAAAATTAGTTGGTAAGTACATCATAATTATGATAATCATAATGTGTCATGCGTGTGCAAGATTAATTTTCGTCGTGAGCGTAAAAATGAAATGTACAAGTAAAATTACAAGTATAAAAATTATGTAGTTATCTTTAAGCTACACTTAATAACACTGAATACATCTATACCGTGGGAATTACAGTTCTCACTTTCACATGTCTGCGTGTATCTATTTGATTCCGCAAATAACATTAAGATTTCCTATTAGTCTTTGATGCGGCATCATTTTTTATCAAATACACAATTTAATAATACCTATAATAATTATTTTCTATTTAGTATAGCTTCATGTTTTAAAATTATCGTATTCAAACCATATATTATTAAGTGTAAATAGGTTTAAAAACGTAGGTAAATCAACGAGGTAATTGTCTAGATTCAACTTTCGGAGTTGCGCGTAACTTGTTGCGTTATCCTGCGTTACCTATTGTCAAAACGACTTAATTCAGTCTACTTTTAGTAATGGTTTTGCTATTTCTATTTATTTATTAGCAAGGATTAAAAAATACTTCATTAAATTGTTTTCCGTTTGTATTCTTAGATGACCCAAAAAGTTAAAACTACTCACATCGTCCCATTTTACAACTTTTTCGCCTTCCAAAAGTTCCCGGGGCACGTCCAAAGCTGTCATTTTGATTTACGACAACCTTCTCGGACTTATCGTTCAGTCAACTATTGTTTTCAGGCTATCAAACTGGGTTAAACTGGTCGTTTAACCGACGTCTCCCACGTTGATTCGATCATAGTGTTTTGCTTAGCGTAATTTCGTGTTTGCCGTACATTTTTTATGCGCGGACGACCGCGACACCATAGCTTGTGAACAAATATCCGTGTACTGTACACGCTCATTTACAACACCACTTTGCGTACCATATTCAAAATGAATTGATAACGAAAATGTAAGCAAATTATACGAGCACACATATTGTACCTGATAACAGAACAATCACGTAACTGAGAGCTCACACGGAAACGTACGAACACTAGCGGAGGTATGCGGTTGACTGGCTGGTCGTGTCGCGACTCGCCGCTCGCGCCGTGCGGAACACGGTCGGCGGTAGAGGGGCGACCAGCTACGTGTCTATTGCTAGCTGCTGGTGTTGCTGAGTGCGGACGACATCGCGCCATCGCGGTGCAGCAGCAGTTGATCGTCACCACCGAGCGCGCTGCTCACCGTTACTTTTGCCGGATGCTGGAGAGAAAAAAACGAGCACACTGTTGTCGGTGGATTCTGGGCTGAAAGGTTGCAGCTCGTTGCTGAAGATCATTTGTGTAGGTACATCACGATATATCTACTGTTTTAGATATTTACATTGCTCTCTGTACACACAAGAGCCGATAGATTATCAACAATTGTGGACCGGTACTTATTGGGCGAACAATGAAGGAAGTCCACCCCTTTTCCATCAAAATCGAAAAAATGCCCAAAAAATTACATATTAGAATAGTTGATGAATCTACCCGAAAAGAATTATTGCTAAAACATTCAAAGAAAACTAATTTAATAGAATGAGTTGTCGGTACCAAGGCTACTATGGCGGTACTATGGCAATAGCGCGAATATGAAGGAAAAACAAAAAAGGGTTTAAACCAGAGCAGAGTACTAGGTTAAAATGGCATCATTTATGTCATTCATTTAACCACATTATACCTAAATATCTGATGCAGCGACATAATCAAAAGAATCCGTTACTTTTTTAGGAATTTTATTTTGATTACTGCGATTTAAGGTTTTTTCTGCATTTTTTTACCGTTGGGATGTCGCATAGACAGTGGTAAGACAATTCAATATTAAACAATAAAGCCTGCCAGTCAGAGCTTAATGGAGACGGGGAGGTCACAGGTATTATTATAACTGAAAGTGATAAAATCACCTTTAAATAAACGCTTCAGTGAGAATCTGTGGATAGTAGGTTCAAACCAACACAGCCCAAACCAGTAGTAGTAGTAGTAGAGTAAGTAAGGGTAGTTTAGTGATCACAATTAAAAATAAAAATATCGATAAAAGCATTACCTAATGACAATTATGTGCTATAAAATGTATTTCTAGTATCAGGATAGATACGATTAGAATTGATCGTCTGTCTATAAAAATATATTGCCATAGTTACCCATATTATATTGTAATTAAAACTATAATGAAAATTGTCTTATTACCTGCTAATTGTTGATTCACTCACACAAAGCAACCTAGACATTTTTTTGGGTGTTTTTCTCGATTTGAAGGGGAAGGGGTAAACTTTTCTACTCCTGACCTACCAAAGTATCAATTGCATACGATTACGGATCGAGTTTACTTTCCAAATATATAGGTCCGCAGAAAAAAAGTTATTGTGACTTCAGGCATAAAGAAAACACATCATTGTAAAACTAAGATGGGAATATTTTTAATTTTTGGCCATCTTCTAAAGTACCTTTCAGGTACGATTTCTAATTTATGGAGTTGCTACACGAAGATATCGGTTCAGCGGTTTAAAATATATCGTTGATCCAGACATCATTGTAAAAACAATAACTTTTCAGCTCCCCATCAAAGTTAAAATAAGTATAATGCGTAATACCAATAACAAGTCTCAAATTTGTCAAAAATCAAAAAAAGACTCAATTTTGGAAAATACTTTCAAGAGGTCCATTTTTGCTTCCCGTATCATATGGTAATAAGTAATTTACTAATATAATAATATATGATTATTAATCATCGAAAATAATATAGTAAAATATTTGGTTAGTTAAGTTATGGTTAAAATGTAAAAAAAAAGTACAATAATTTTGTAAAAATGTAAATGATTTACCGAGTTATCCTTTCCAAAACGATTCATCTTAGTTTTATTCTATAATAGATAACACAGACCTCATTAAAGAAGATATCTTCTACCTAAAAATAATTAGAGATAATAATGTTAACTATTATTTATAGGCAGTAACACAAATTTAATGAAAAAAATGTTTGTGTCAAAGCGGGTTGGTATTAATAAGCAACCCCATGTATAATTTACATGTGACATTTACCTAGTCCAAGTACACATACACCCTTTATGTCAAATATTTTCTAAAATTTAAACCTTTTTTTTTAATAGATATTTTATTATTATATCCCTGACATTTAGAATACTTTAAGACAAAGCCCAAAGGTTATTCTTTAGTCATTTGAACTTAGCTATTCTTACTTACTACTTAATACTTATACATCTACTTAAAACTCATTATTTTTGGTTTTGGTAAGCACAAATGAAATAATGGGAGGTTCTTTACAGCATACCTAAGTATGTCTTTACTATAAATGATTATAATAATTAATAGTAGTATTAGAATTGAAAAAATATTTGTTTAAAAACCGACTTTTTAGTAAATTAAGCATGTAGTTATTGCTGTTCTTAAAATTTAATTTTTTGATAACATAGTAAACGATAGACATAGTATCTACATGTTACACAGTTGGCAAATTACACAACATCTAGCCTACAAGACAAATATGTTATAATGACTGAAAGTGTATAATTAAGTGAAATCATGGTTCCTAGCATTGACAATATTTCCTAATACTGGTTTTCATATAAATACATATTTGATAATTAATTCACAAAGATTATTAGCTACTTACAATTCTAACTTGAAAACTAATCAAACATTTTTACAATTTAAAAAAAAAATATCATAGCTGAAATATGATAGTTGAAAATCCTTTTTATGCTATTTTGTAATAACATTTTTTTGGACCAAATTATGGAATTATCAGTTTTATCAGTTTCAATGGGCTCTAACGCGATAAAAAGAATTTGTATCCCGAAATATCAAAAAAGATGGTTTTTAAAGTGTAATATTTCTTTTTTAAAATTATAATTCGATTTCAAATAGAATTTTTAAAATGATTTCAAGGGATTTCAAGGGCTTGGTGCCCAATAACACAAATAAACCATAATTTTTAAAACAAATTTTATATAATATAAATTCAGACGTGTATAATTTAAACATCTAAGTATATCATTTCTAGGGGTTGTCACTAAGCAACGGATAGAAAGATTAAAGATGGTAGTTGGTACAACAAACCATTTGTATTTTGTACAAAAGATGGTATCGAAATCCGAACAGGTAAACAAACAAACAGACAAACAAGAAAGCGAGTTAGTATTCATTTTCGTCCCGTTCTGAGCTATGTTTAAAGTTTGAAGTCTCTAGCTTATCGGGAAGTTAGTTAAAATCGATTGCAAAATTTGTACCGAACAGACTAGAAAGATACTTAATAAAAACATGTTAAAAAATACATAATATGACATATTCTATCCAGTAGTATAAAAATTTCTTTTTTCATGTTGTTGTGGGATGGTTACATTATGCATAATGCCTTTTATGTATTGAAAATGAAACTTATGGTAGAAAGCTTAGTATCTCAGATGTTTACAATCTAGTGAAGTTTATTATGTCCGCCTAGTCAAATTATCTAATTAGCTCAAGTATCCCAGAGATCATTATAACATGTCCTGAAAACAAAAACAAACTCATTATGAGTCATAGCAGTATCAAATACCAATTATACATTCTAAATTATAAATAAATACATTATTGTAAATTTAATTTGGAATTTTAGTTTTTACTTTATATTTGAATAACTTGACAACACATTTCGACGTTATCATCAAATCAACTTCACATAAAATGTATAACGAATATGTATTTTGTAGTTTGAATAGTTAGTTTACTAAACAGAATTATATCGTAATAGTCTGTAGGGGCCCAGCTGTCACTTTGTATACCTACATTAATGCTACACCATTAAGTCATAGTGGTGATTCAAATTAATTGGAACGTAATATAATCATAAACATAATATTATGACAGTCAAAAAAGTGAATGACAATATTCTTGACGTTTTTATTGTTATTTATTGGTCTAATTCGCTAAACATATAACTCGTTACGTAAGCGTAAATTTTAACTCCACAAAAAAATTATAAATATTTTTATGCTTTATTATACTTCAGTTATATCTAAAAAAATCGATTTTAGTCCATTTAAAAATGTTGTGTGTAAATATGTAGTATTAGTAAATTTGATAACGTACAAAACCGTTATTGTTGGCAATATAAAGTAAGATTTAAAAAACCGAACACAATATTTTTAAACTACATTAATTTTATACATATTATTTTATTTTTTAATTGAATAATGATTAGTTGAATCTTATAATTTTATCATGCCTATTAAAAAAAAATAAATTTGTATTTTGGTTTTTTAGCTTTTAGCTTTGATGCGGAGCAGCGATGCAGGATGCTATTGGTTTTACAATGATGTAAACTTTTTTGTGTCTATATTCACTATAACTTTTTTAATACTGGACTAATTCCTTCGAGTAGCAACTCTATAAATCACAATAGTTGGTATTATGGGAGGGGGAGGGGGGTACAAGTGGAAAAAATTCACTTCTTCACCATTAAAATTTTAAAAAACCAAAATAAGCCATACGAGTTTTAAAATTTCAACTTTTACTGGCTATAACTTTGAGAAAAAGTGTCGAGTTGATTTTTCACGAGGAATATTTATTTGGTACGCCACTATACGTCAATAGTCAATTTAAAATATACCCGCCCCGTACAAACATACCCCACAGAGGTGCAAGGTTTTTTGTTTTTTAGTCATAATTTTAGGACCTTTTAGTTGAAAATTTGTCAGCAGTTTGAACTGATATGTATCGACAACATATTAAACAAAGGAAAAATTCGGGACTACGTTTTTTTTTAATTGCCGAAAAACTGTTATTTTCGCAAATTTTGTATATTTTAACATAAACACTCTTAAATCTTTAAAAAAATTGTATTAAATGATAATAATATTTTTATGGACATCTCTTTAGAGTGATTCTAGTAAGTTTTGAGTACTAAAGTACACATTTTTGGTTTTCATTTTTTTTTCTTTTTTTTGCAGATTTTTGGACAAATAAAATTGATAAAACTGATATCAAATTTAGAATCAGCGACCCCAAAAACATGTAATTTTAATTTTTACCACTTTTGAAGTCTTTTACACAAAAC